TGTAAAATGGCCCATTCTGTTATTGGGAACAGCCAGAGGAGATAGTGAACTATATGTTTTTCTTGAAAGTAGATCTGTTGCAAAATTCCATATACCCTGCGATTATCTACAATAAGTATGTTATGGAAATGGAGTCAATCATTTTTTTTTCCCTTAATGATGCAAATGATCTGTTGCATTTTACTAAAGTGAACACTTTCTCAATCAATGCTTCACGTACTATATACTTTACAACTGACTCCATAGAGTTTAAATTTTTCTTCATCTTTTTGCTTCCTAATATAATAGCACTGAATTTTTCAAAGAAAAACATAAAGTTGTTTCTTAAAGCAAACCTGATCAATGCTGCAAGGGATATTTGTTAATTATCCCTGTTGTGAAATTCCATATACACTGTTATCATTCCAACAATTGTTATGGAAATGGAGTCAATTATCTTTTTTTTTCTAAAGGATGGAAATAATCTTTTGCATTTTATTTATTCTAACACTTTCTCAATCAATACTTGATGAAAGATTATTTGCTTGTGCTAGAAAGAAGCTGAGACGTCATTTTCTTTAAATATTTACATGTTGGGTTGCCCATTCCCCGTTACCAGTTTTAGTAACATCCAAAGACAAGATATATTTATGCACTACTTGGAAAAGCGCACAATATTGAAAATCGTCTTTGGTTGAGAGTAGCGACAGAGAATTGACCACACGATGTACCACAATTTCGAGCTTCAATGTATTCGTTTACAATAAAATCGTTTGAAAAAATATACATGACAAATAAATGAAACTTGTTGAATATGGAGAAGGTAAGCATAGCTTTCAGTTCGAAGCGAAGGTTAACAAGGAAAGCTTACATATCTGTATATCTTGCTGGAAGTCTTAGTTTTGCAGGGTTTGGCAAGCGGTCGTCACGGGTTATTTTGGCCGGCTAACTTTTCTTTGATATTTCACTTTCTGGTAGCTTGTGGAGGCTTACACATTTTCTTTTTGAATTTTGGTATGTATTTTGAAATTCAACCACACAAAATGACCTCATTTCAATTAATAGTAGTATTAGAAACTGTTTTCACAGAGGTCATTCTGGTCAACTAGGACAGAGTGCCGAACAAAGTTTGACTATTGCTACGTCACAACTGACGTAATATCTAAGATGGCGTTTTTCTAACCACGAAAGTTGTAAAAATGGGCAGCTTCAAAGTGCTCTTGTCGCTAATACAAAGCAAACTAGAAAAAATGGCAGATATTTTCGAACTCCTGAGGAAAAAGTCTTTAAATTGTGATAAATTTTTTCTAGACCGTACTTTCCCTTTAAGAAAAGTAAGATAATGTTTGCAATAGAGATATGGTCGTCATAACTTGGGGCAAATGGTAAAATAATTATGGATTTTATCAGAGAAAAGAAGGTTCTTCTCAATCACCAGTTTCTAAAATATCATCAAATGTGGGTTATGACGTGAAAAATTTTACCAAAATCTGATCACTTTATTTTGGTCAAACTACCCTTAAACCTCAACAGATGAGAATTGCACCATAACCGGAGATGTGTGAACAAAAAATGAAATACCAGCCTGTTGCCTAAATGTGAATAAAATCAAATAACATCTTGAGCCTCCAGTTGTAATAATAATAGTTAAATAAATCACTTATTATCCCAATAAAAATTATATTTGACTTCATATATCCTTACTGCCCTAAAACATTAGATACACCCTTTGCAACCTTACTTTTCAACCCATTAAATTATCGGAATTATGTGATAATTTAATGAGAACCTGTACAGCTGATCAATCACAGTGACACTAGCTCATCAGTATAGTGACACTTTTCTCCCTTTTATTCAGCCCTTGCGGAATATTTTATCTTATCCATCCCAGATAATGCCATTGAGCGGTGAAAGCTTGGACTTCTACAATATTTTACAGTAATTCAAGGCCACATTAGTGTTTCTATTGTTTTTTTTTTTTTTTGTACACCTTTTTTTTTGTACAGTATCAGAGAGGACAAAAACCAAATTATTTCCCAAGGCTTGTATTTTCTGGGAACAAGACTGAATGAAATCAGATTAAAATAATGAGGAGAGTTTTGTTGACCTCTATATGAAAATGGATGATTCACTCGTATTAGAATTAAGAGAAATAAGACTGAAGTCAAAAGGAGACTTCGATACTGCACATTAAGTGGTAATAAGCACCAACCTGGCTGCTATTTAAAGAAATTCATAGAAGTTTGCCAGGGGGGTTTGGCTGTGTCAATTTTACAGAAGACAAATCAGGTATGAATCACTCAAGAAATTTATTAGCTCTCATTCTGGAAGCTTAAACACTCTTAAGGAATACAACCGATCACTACTCACATATAACGGTGCGGTTATCTGGAATAGCTTGTCCCCTGAATTGCGGCATGCAAAATCACTTCAATCTTTTCGAAATGGTTGTCGCAATTTCTTCGTCTGAATCGACAAAATGCACATGGCATCTATGTAAAGCAGAATTTCTTTATTTTTTCTCTTTCACTTTTAAATTTTAGATCATTTTTATATAGATTAAAGTAGTTTGTAATTGTAATAATAGATTGTAATAATATTATTATTTTATGTGATAGATTTACCGTGTCTAAATAAAAATAAAGTTCAAGTTCAAGTTTACTTTCATTTTCACTGAAATTTGGACAAAACTTTAATGATAATTTTACCGTTACAAATAGAGTAGACATAACTCATGTATAGCATATAAGTCTAGGCAAGTTGTGTACTGAGAACAAAAGACTGATAATTTAAGCAAGAAGTAAGCTTCTGGGAATAATGACAAACTCTTGAATAACAGCTAGCCACAGTTAATGTCACAGCTATCCATTCTGTCTATAGTACCAATTTTTGAGTCACTTCACATTACCCAGAAGAGAACATAACAGTTAGGTCCGGTTCAAACGTCGTACGTTACATGTGCCGAACCTAATACCTATTTGGGTCGACCCAAATAATTAAGTTCGACAGCTCATTCAGACATCGAACCTAATCAACACGATCTCGTCCCCGAATGAAGGATTATCATAACTTCTCAAATGTGACAAAATGAAGTATAATCATTCAACATCGAGATGACCGTGAGGCCAGTGAACCCTGGGTACCAGATTTATTGAGAGATGATTTTCCCGGGTGATTTCGATTTCTTCGGTGCAGTCGTAGGTGCCCTATTCAGTCACTTGTGTTTCGGTTTCCTCGCTTTTTTCGGGCTATTATTTTGATTCATGGTATCCGCTGTTGTGGAAGGTAAGTAAACATTGTTTTAGTATAAGTTATGAATTATTCAGACATAAGATGCTTGTGAATATTCATGAGTACGTGATTACGAATGATACATAAAATAATTTTTTCAAGCATTCCAATTTTCCAATTAACATTCAGCTTAAAGGTTCTCAACAAAATGTAAGTTTAGAGTGCCCTGGTAATGCTAGAGAAATACATGAAATTCTCAAGTGCTTAACTTGCAGTCGACGGTTTCATCTGCCGGTTTCTTCTCGACTGGGGTCGCCAAAATAGTCGCCGCAAAAATTACTGAGGTAATAAGATGAAGGTATTCTTTGAACATATTTTCGAATTTTTGTTTGATCAGTTGTCCATATGTTTTCTATATATATAGAATACCATCTCCTTTTAGCGCGGCCGATACTTCGGCGTCATTCGTACGCTAATACTTGCACACGTGGTTAAGCTGTCAATTTGAGTTCGCACAGTTTCACCTGCAAGATAGCAAGGGGTTTAAAGTTAAATAATAGGCCATGAGCTAATATATTGTTTTCATCAGTGCAATTTCCATCATCTTCCACCCTGATGTATGAGTAATAGGGCTATGTTTGCCAATATTTTCAATAATAATAATGATAATAATGAAATATTTATATAGTGCCTATCCTTTTCAGTGCTAAGGGCTATATAAATATAGAAATAAAGGCAGAAAGTTTCTAAAAAAACTGTGGTGCTGCGTTGGTGGGGGTAACAAGGTAATTTGTTTATATCAACCAAGTTGAAATTATAAATTGGCCCCTGTAACAAGTAAAAAAGCTGACATTTCTATTGTTAGCCCTTTGTCATTCGCTCTGACGAAGGGCCAACGCTCGAAACTTCAGCTTTTTTACTCATTACAGTGGCCAATTTACAATTTCAACATAGGTGATATAAGCAAATATTCTCAATACTCTGGACATCATTTTTAACTTGGAAAATGGTAAAGCCATTAAATTTTGTACTTATGTGTAATATCTTAATAAAGGGACTGCTTATTTAAACTTATATTTATTCTCGTATATTTTAAAATTACCTGATTTACATAATAACAATTATAATTAGTAGATAAACCCCATCAGGAGGCTGGTATATTGGAGGCTAATGCCCAAGGCTGAAAGATTTTCCAAAGAATGAACAGTTGGCCGAGAAGGTGTATCTTTTTAACACTGTTTAAAAAGATACACAGATTTTATTAAAAAGTTGGACCTGAAAATGTGACTTTGTTCATTTGTTTTGTCTTGTCTATAAAATTGGGTGACGGATATAAAATCGAATGGGGTATATTTAGTAAATAAACCCCTTCAGGCAGCTGGTATGTTGGCTGATAATGGACATCTGTGGCTGAGATCATCCGAAAAATGAATATTTGGCCGAGAAGCAAAGCTTCGAGGGCAAATATGAAATTTTGAGGACAATCTCTCAGCCAAGAACATTATCAGCCGACATACCAGCAAGCCAGAGCGGGGTTTATTTATTTTATAACCCTCCCATTAATTTTCACATCGCAATTGAACTGCACGTAAACACACAT